CAAAGCCTTTGGCTCAAAAGCCTAACCGCAAGGCAGCGGTGTCTGGCGGGAAATGCAAATGGATTACCATTTCTACTGAACAAGTCGCCACATGTTCCAACCCCCAACCTGGAGGGCCAGGAGACTGTGTTCGTCAGACCTCTAACCATTGACCAATCTGGTATGAGAGACTCTGTGAGTGTCGCGGGATACTCTCCAGTATAGCTCAATGGATCGCTGAGGTGCGCAAACCGTCACACCACGGTAAGGTCCAGTCTCTTCGTGACGTCCGTCTAATTTCGATGACTGAGATGTCTTCATACTGTTCAAAAATTTTCTCATCACACAGAACTTATCCTACAAATATTGGGGGAATCCGATCTAATACCATTACGTGCACCTCTGTGCTCCTTAATTTGGGAAAAACGCTTAAATTACGGACTGCTGATCAGCAGCGAGTTCAATTTTTGATTCGCCACTTTTGGATGGCTGGGCGTTTCTATGTTTCAGAATAAGGCACCTTTTCATGTTGTCCCGGTGTGGTGAAGGCGCCAACTTACCGACCGAAAGGTTCATGGTTCGAACCCGGTTCTGGCATCTAGATTGCTCCTGTCTAGGCTTGGGCATCCTGGCGCTATATTAGCCCTTGTTCTTCCTTCGAGCAGTTCGGTAGCTATACACCGAAAGTATGTCACAGATGGACGGTTTTTCTTTGGATGATTTTGCTTGAATCTTAAATTCCGGAGGGTGCCTTGACGGTTGATGCAACTGAACTTCGTACGGACACATTTTAGGGTTATTTACAGTTATCCGTAGTTCTAGGGCCTCTTAGGAACTATGCTGGGATATATGATGCACTTGAGTCTGTTCGCTGAGCTTCGCAGCGTGGGTTCGTGGTCAGTGAAAAACAGTCTTCCATATGACCTGACCTACTAAAATTTCCATCAATAGGAGACCATCACATCGCCAAGTGCTATTGTAGTTTAGTCGGATTTCACCAGTCAGCAGCCCAGGGTAACCAGTGACCTTTAACACTTTCTTACTGCAACTATGCATCCCGTGCCAATTCTTCTGAATGGATCCCTCAATTCGTATTTTGTTTTCATCGTTGCGTTCTTCTTAAGTACATATACCCTTTACCCTCACGCTTATCAGACGTCGGGGACAACTGTCAAGGTTGGAGGAGTGGTGGATGCTTTACTGGAACTACTCCTGTACGAAATCAATCGCTTGAGAGAGACGCAGACTGATTCCAAAGAAACCGTATACGAACGCTTGTCTCAGCTGGCTTTGCGTTTACTACGCGATGATAAGGTTGGTCGCTTTTTCCCACTTGGCCTTGTCGTCTTTTGAATTCTTCTTAACTAAGATTAAACAATTTACGGTTAAACTCTGATTTGTACATTGCGGTGGAGGTCCAACTGAAGCTCGTCGACTGAATGTACCACACGAATGTCGTCTCATGTTTCAGTCCAGACATTATTCAAGAGGTATTTTCCTTCAAATGATGAAACCTCCCGAACAACCCACAATCAATTTTTTTTTGGGGGGGGAGAGGTAGCTTCATCCCCGAACGGTTCACTCAGCTAATATCCATTCGAGTCTTCCATCAGCATCATATTGATTTGATGATGAAGTATGACGTGAGGTGGACGCGAATCCACCTGAAAACTGTGGGTTTCTAAGAGCTTCCAACCTTTGATTAGCGTTGTATGAAAGCGGAATTGAACTAGTACTCATCTTACAACCAAAAGTGCATATTCTTGAACCATACTGTATTCCTGGTGCGCCAGTATAAGCGCTCCCCTCAGCGGAACGGCTTTGAGATGTCAGTGAGCTTTATCGTCATCCCATCCGGAACGCCATTCATTTGCTCCGAACCTTGGTCAATACAAAGTTCAGTGGGATAACAGATACGCGTTTGAGAGGTGTGTGTGTATTTGCAATCATTCACCTATGTTCGAGCACACTTGTTCTCCTTTTGGGAGGGATCACCGTGTTTCGTCTGAACAACACAAAACAGAACCGAACTGCGTGTAGACATGCAATCACAGTTAGCACATCAACAGCAGATGGCTATGAACTCGTTCACTTTTTATACGTGGAAGCCATTAGGGGTCCGTTGTCGAAAGTCTGCCGGTTATTCAATCCTCGACTCACTGATATGCATTGTCTCGATTGGCTAATCAATTCAGAGTGTGAAGTAGGCAAAACAACAGGATCTCGCGTGCTTCGATTTTTCCCTGCGTTCATTTGATTTGTTTCCCGTAACACATCAAGAAGACAGACACTTCGAGGTGTCAGTGTGTGTTGGTCGTATACCGTCAGCTGCGATACCAGGTGCATCATTCGTCAAAATACTTGCACATGCTTAGTCACCGACCGATATGCAAATGGACCTGAGATGAGCATTTCTTCGGGGATTTGAACCGCTATCCATCCCGTATTTTGTTTTGCTTGTCGCTAACGTATTGTGCTCAATCAAAGCATGGCTCAATCGATCGTCCGGGTTTCGAAAAACGAATGCACGACAAACTGAATGCTGATGACCTAGATGACGCAACGTTTGAGATGAGAAATGTTCATCAGTCCCACTGTACACGGTGTCCATACCTCCTGGTACAGTTCCTACTGTTTCACAAAGAAATAAAGTGTACGGCGGTCATGTCCGATTTTTTCACACCATGTCCAAAAAGTACTGTTGGACTGCACCACATGGATGGGCAAGATAACCAAGGGGTTTACAAAGGATCTGCTCGGATATGCGTCAAAGTTCGTGATTTAAAAGTGCACTTCCTGGTGTGGCAACACAGCAACCGCCCCTCATGATAGGCCTGATACAAAGTGCACAAACACGTCGACTCAGTTTTCGTACAGACTCACATGGGCAGAGCGTAGTTTGCCAGCTTGTTGCAACTGTTGACGAACAGTGCAGGATAAACATCACGTGAACCAATCAGGTTGATTTCTCTATCCACAGGACGTTGCCTCACTGAACAGCTATGGGTTAGCACTGCCCAGCAATATTGAATGGTTTCGGCCTCAGCTCAGTGGTCAGTCGTTTGAAACTATCTTGTGACCGACGGACAGGTTCCAGAGTTTAATTTGCACTCTGACCGGTCATCATTCGGTGATGTCTAGTCACCATCGCTCGATTCTATGACCTGACACAAACAGTTGCTCTAGTTTGGTGGTAGAACAATCAACGTGATCGATTGCTTGATTACATTCATTATTTTATTCCAATTTGTCTTGTATGATATGTCGTTTCTTGCACTGCGCTTTCCGTTGCTTGTTTTTCTTAGCTGCCGTACGATGAGAAGAAAGCCCTTTTGCTGTGTCATCGGAGGGCTTTTTTCGATGGCTGTATCTATCTTTGGGAGAAGCAACACTTGTAAGTTACACTTTTTTCGGGTTTTGATTTGAGCTGCACTTTTCTCAAGGTAAGTGTTCGGCTCGATTTCACCTCCCTTTCGTTTAACTACGCTTCCGCAAAGTTGCGGCCTCGCGAGAGCTGGTTTTCTGCTCCTCAGATTGATCGATTCACACCTATATACCGCAAACGTTTTACGTCGTTACGGTGATCTGACGACGGTGTAAGTACGGTCGGTGCTTCGTGGTGGTCGTCTCAGTTTGTGAACTGCCGTTGGATGGCATTAATCAAAAAGTGAAAGTGACTTTGGTTAAGTGGCCGGCGTATTTCAACTTCGCAAAAGAACTTTAACAGAACCCACATCGTGTGGTTTACATGTTGACCAGCTGCTCGAATGACGATTTGTGGAATGGAAGTTTCGCTCATCGTGTGAATTATTCTTCCTCCGAGCTACTTACAGGCTATTGTTAGTAACCATATTCGACTAGGCCGATAATTTGTTATCGGGCACACAGCACTAGCTGGAGAAAAACCTCACGGTGGAAGCACCGATCGAAGGTACTGATGGATGCGAGCTGAGATTAAGCAGCTCATGCTCAGTCAAATATCTCTCGAGTTTCAAGTACTTCGTCTTCTTGATAGCCTGTCTCTGTTCAAGTTCGCCCATGTGAAAAATCAGTGACGGACTGACTCGCATTACACGGACAGACTCATCATGTTGCTCTATGTGTGTGGGTCACCGATACGCACGAGTATCAAATAGCTGGAGCGTTCACATCAGATCAAATGGAGGATTCGGCCTTTTCATGGAATCCGCGTGAAAATTGCGACCGTCCCATTGAGAACATTCGAGAAGGCATTTTGAAGACTGCCGAACGTAGTTCCTGAAGTTGTACTACTCTTCTCTGGTAGTGTCTGCTGGTTACCTTTATGAAATTGTTTTCCAGATCGACAAAGCTGTCAACCAGTTGAGTGGAGCTTCTTCCTGCAGAACGGATATCCTGAAAGGTTCGTATTCAAGACTATGGAACCCGTTAAGCCCAAACCTACACAATGATCTGTTAGGAAGAAGCCCGTATACATGATGTTTTCATTCAAAGGCGACTCGGTCGCTGAGATAATCACCAGAAGGCTTAGCCGTTGATACAACATACTTGGCCGCTAATCTGTGTTTGAGCTTCAACTCCAGCCCCACTATCAAATTTTGCTTGAAGGACAGGACGCCACGTCCTACCACCAGTTTTTGTGTGTACTCATTTGTGTGCTCGTTCCGAGCATCATACGTTGGTCGTACGACAAGGCATTTGTCGGACAGAATGTGAGAACACAATTCCGTATCTCTGTGAGGTAGTGGGAAGAAACCAGACTCAAGCGCGATTGCATCACATTTGACCGAAACCAGTCATGTTATAGACAAGGATCAAGCATTCACCATCACATACCGGGTACCTCTGAACGGACCACGACTGGTACGATCCAAACTACTATCGATCGCAGAGGCGATTGAAATCCGACTGTTGGATCCGCAACTTTGCATCCAAAAGAAACTCGTGCGACCTCTGAACTTGAACTCGCCTACGAAACATCCGGTCCCACAAGTCTGTCTGACATTGACGTCACTTACCTGATTCCGTGACACGTTGACCTATCCCTCATCCAACCCCCCTCCTTTGATTTCTATTTCTCTAAAGTGTATGTAACCCCGATCTTAACCTTTTCCACGTGATTTCTGCTACCATATAATTTTTTGATGTATTAGCCAAGAAAAAACAATCACAGAAAACAAGCTTTGTTCGCCACCTTCTTCTTTTCCATGACTACCACGGATATATTCAGCCACTTCTTGAAAAGTGCTGAACTTTACTCTGTTGGAAGCAATCCTAATTAGCTTGTTTCCGGTGAGCAGATACGCCCAGCCGGGGAGATAGAATAACACAATTCTGCATTTCTATGAATGTTCATCAAGCAGTTAAATGCAGTGACACTCAACCGACCAAACTTTTGAGGCGAATAGACCAAGCAGTTTCCTGATGAACAATCGCATAACTGAAGGTATCGTTATTCCCATATTTTCACATAGCCGTTCTTTATGCTTCTACAAGCATCGCGTTTACAGCTTACCTCAAGAGGTCACTATTTAGGACAGCGTTTATGTAAACCAGATATGCACCGGTTCAGGCCTGTTTCATGAATCAGTCTATTCGAATACATTCAGCCGATTCGGCTGAGTCGATCAGCCTTGAACTTACCTCGAGATAACCTCCATGTTCAGTGCATGGAACGTGGGAGTTTTAGCTCCATCAGCTATATGTTTACGGCAGTGAAGCATCGGTGTTGAACACGGATGTCATGCTGTCGATGATGGTGATGATGATGATGCATCTATATGTCCATAGTAAAAGGGGTTGGAAGCGGCCTTTCACGATTTTGCGGGTGCTTGGGAATCCGTAATTGTTTCGATTGCATTAAACATGATAAATGCCAATTCTATGCAAACTGTATATCTGTCTGTGTTTGTGTCAATATGATTCAATGAAATGACTCAGAAGTTACTTCCATCCTTGTCTTAAGGATTGAGGCTCACACACAAGAGCTTTGAGAACAAAAAATTTCACTTCTTGAAGCTTTGCAGTGCATTATTGAATGTAATCTGCCGTGTGGTTTGTCTATCACCATGTGGTGAACGGTGTTCAACAGTTTTGCCTGTCCTTGTTAGACTCGTTGGTTGTAGCTATTAGCGTTTATGATCCCCATCACGACCCGTCAATTTTTCGCATTTCGATTTCCTCGCACAGTATACGTTCAACGTAGGGATACTTTATACGATAGTAATTTACTGGTTCTTTCTGACGTGCAGGTATCTTGGCCAACAATGTCGGATGCTCATTCCCAAATTTGATTCCGCATTTCACGTGTTTTAAAAAAACCGATGAACTATAGAGCGTAACTCGCTCATCTGGTCCTATTAGTCCGTCCAAATAAATCGATGCATCTTCACAGGTCAAGTTAAGGGCAAGCCAATCTCTCCCTTCTGGAAACTTGTTCGGAAGACTTTGAAATAGCTTCGTAACAAAGGAGCGCGACCAGCATAACGGAGTCACTACCTTAGGGCATCGAGTTTTCGGTCGTATCTGATCACAGCAAATAGCGAGATAGCTCAAGGTTTAGAGCTCGAATTCACTTACCAGAAGGTCCATGGTTCGAACCCGACCTCCGCCGCTCGACTTCCCCTGTCTAGGCTTGGGCAACTTGGCAGTACCCGAGCCTTCCTTTCGGTAGCATGGTATCTAGGCACCCAAAGGGTGCTATAGCTGAACGATTTTTTCAGCTTTTTATCTACAATGGATGGATGCTACGGTGATAAAAATTCCTCAAGCATAAGGCTGTGTGTTCAGCGGTGAAACATCGTCCACGTCTGTTCCAGTCAAATAGAGTTGGTCAACCTATCGGCTATGTGTATAGGGCTGGGTTATAGCTAACTCAAAACTCTGGTTCAGTGGCACAGAGTAGTTCCACTGTAGTGTTTCCTGAACCAGAATCTTTCCTCTCTGATTTTGTGCATTTGTTTCCTCAAGTAGGATTACAGTGGATTAAACTTCATGCCCATGATGGAACTGTTTTCTTCGTGAAGAAGGCTACCTTGGACTAGAAAATTTAGTGCTGAACGAGGGAATCGAAATAAGTTTAGCGAAAGAAATCCTCTCGCTAACTAGTCGTCATGCTCTAAGGCACATCGAAAAGGATACCTCCTCACAACTGATTGTTCTCAACCCATCTTTGTGGACATCGTTCGGCTTCCGTGTCCCACTCTTGGCTAGCCCTTCATTACGAGGACTGTATTACGTCATTATGGAATAATTTGTGCTCTCCAGTCAATATATGACTAGAGCGTCTAATTTTTCAAGGGTTACTTTATTAGACAGTAATAGTTTCCGGAATAACTTCACTCACTTTGGGCTTTCGCCTATTCTCTGTAGACATAAGTGTACCATGAACCCATATTGATCGATCAATTTGTCTCCACATCGTTTTCCAGATATGACCCCCTTCTTAAACACTACATGAGTCTTGGTGCACATCAGAAGGTGTTGGAAACCTGTCAGAAGTTTGGGTAAGTTCCTGCGTTTTTGACCTTCGAGAAATCCAAGTTTTAATGACAGTCTGAGATTCTAGTGAACGACTGGTCCCTGCTTAAATGCCCTCTTGTCATGCAAAGTTATACGAAGTTTCTTCACTTTACAACCTTCGCTTATACGGGGCCACAGTTCACTGCTTGATATAATGTGAAATCTGTCTTTTTTTGCCACCCACACACTCATTACACTCCTGGTCGAAAGAATATCTGTACCCTCAATCTGCACAACAGTTGCAGCATAACTGACTATTATCATTTATTTTATTTTATTTTTGAAGAGCCTGGTCACAAACATAAAAAGTGAATGCAAGCTATGAATGCGAAAGAGTAACAGGAGAATATGGGAGAAAAGAGAGAAACGTCTCATTCGAAATCATGCCAA